AGTTTTCATGGGAGATTCTTTTCTCTACATATCAATTTGATTAAGGCATATCAGGATTTAAAACCGAGTTGATACAAAAGAAATTTATTTAGGTTTTATTAAAAATGATTGAGAATCGAATGACTTTGTCTTCGATGTTTTGAACTTGTTTCTCGAATCAGAAACCAACAATAGTCACCCATCATTGCTTCATCCCAAAACCCTTGGTAACGACGTTCCATCATCTTCATTTGTTGGTGAAAACGTTCGCCGTGCTCATCACTCTCGTCACCAAGATTTTCCGGGGAAAAATCCATGTGAGAATGTAGGAAATGTATCTTCAAAGACATATTCACACCTGTGTTCAGTGAAATAAAAGGATTTGAAATTAATTCTATGTAACAAACACAATATTTTTGATTTATACCTATTTTCTCATAATTTTTGAGCAATTCATCGACGGCTTCCTCATAATCTGGGCTTCTGAAATTTCCTAAAAAGGTTATGACAACACGCTGGAACGATTTCCACGCTTCTTCCTCATCTGGTGTCAAAACTGTATTTAATGCGGAATTATTGAGCAGTTTTTTTTGATCTGTGGGCCAACAAATACACCTTCCTTTATCTTTGCGTCAGATAAATTTGGAAATACTGATTTCAAGTACTGGAATGCCGGCCCTTCTTTTTGCAACGCTTTGACGAAATTTTTGAATAGCCCAAGTTTTATATGTAGTGGTGGAAGTATTATGCGTTCTTTTACCACAAGAGGATCATTTTTAACGTTGTCTTTACCAATTGTGAAATTATCCCGTTTTGGCCAATCTTTTCGGACGTAGTGTTCCTTACGAGCTCGACTGTCCCATTTACACAAAAAAACACATATATTTTGTGTATCCCTGTTGCAATCCAGTCAACATGGCAACCACTTTAAGATCGGAACAAATTTTCCAATTGTGTTGATTGTAATTTATCAAATTGAGCAATAGAGCCATTGATTCATACGTTTCCTTAACGGCATGAGCTAATGGAATAGAAGGTTTCTCATTCCCTTGATGCAGTAAAACGGCTTTCAAGCTCAACTTGCTGCTATCGATGAATAAACGCCATTCAGCTGGATCATATGGCTCACCAAACTCTTCAAACAAGCCGTTTACGTCATGGCAAAAACATGCCTTGTCCTTTGTAGAATAATATTTGTCAAATTTCTTGTGACAATTCCTGTGACAAGAAATTTTGACCTCCTTGCTCAGCATGTTGTGTTCTTTCAAGCGTGATGCCAGCAATTCGGATTGTGTAAACAGTTTTGGGTTTCTTTCCAATTCCACCTCGAAGTCTTCCTCGCATTCCTCCTTGAATTCCTCCTCACTTTTTGTAACGGTCGATTCAACAGAGGGCGCTCGTTTCCGCTTTGGATAAACAGGATACGGGACCGAACTTGAATGTGGAACAGGTTTTGTCATAGAAGCCACTTGTGGATACTCAACTGTTTTGTGACGTCCTTGTTGCTTAACTTTTGTCAAGCAGAAATAACAATCCGTTGCATGACAAAACGGTCGACGCCATATGGTGGGCATGTCAAAGGACAAATAGCGACTGACAGATAACAAATAAGTGAGTTAGTAAGTAAGACATTAACACTTATCAAAAATAGATGAAGTAAGATAATGTCGATCAGGAAAGAACAAAGCACTACCATGCTGTACATAAATTGTTTATATGAAAGTTATTCAAAAAATCAATTTACCTTGCGCCTGACATCCACCTAGGCACCTAGCCAAGCACGTTTTGCACGAACTACATAATACTTTTGGAATCCACGGTTCGTCAAAGTCTCCAGGATCAATTTTAAAATAAAGCCTGTATGCAGTTTGCAACGAAGCAGTGAAATTGACCGATTTTGTAAATATATAGTTGCCACACGCGTAACAAAACTTTTGAGGATCATTTTTACACTTGAATTCACGTTTTGTCGTATACATCGTTAAGCAATGTTAAAGAAAGAAAGCTGTCAAATTGAGTTGGTTGCGTTAGGTTCTCGCCGAGCGGTCTCACTAACACTAGCGTAAATTATATTGTTGAAAATATCCCATTTAATTTTGCGTGACAGCTGGTAGTGTTAGTGAAATGCACTGTATGCGTACACGTCCACAGAAAGGCTTACTGGAAGTGGTGCATGAACCTAGGAGCGGGACAACGGCCAATCTTGGAACATTCAATTTCCATGATTTTACAAAAAATTTCATAACTTCGACAATTTCCAACCGATTTCATCCATTAAAGGCTCATTTTCTCCAGTTTTTAATGGACTTTAAGAATAAATTATGGAATGATTTTTTGAATCTTTTTATTCCGTTAAAAATATTTTTATGGAAAATTCGCAGGAAAAAAAAAAATGCTGTAAATTTTTAAATGACTTCAAAATTAAATTTTTAATTAAGACATAGTATTCTAGTGAACGATAGCAAATTTATTTAGCTTCATTTTCATAAAAAAAAGATTTAAAATTGGTGCACTAGTTCCAAAGATATTGACATTTTAGTAATCGTACTTTTGTCCAAAATTCAAAAAATCAAAATTTTTGTATATCTCAAAAATGGCTCTACTTTAATTTTTACTGACCACGGCATTGAATTCATCGTAGGATTTTGCATTAGAAACGTTGGTCAACCACTAAAGTTCACACTTTTTATGTTGTTTTGTAAACTAGTGTTATAGAAAAATTTATATTGAGCATTTCCAGCCCAAAACGCAAACCGGTTGGACATGAGTGTTTCCGATTTGAATGAAACATTTCTCACGTGTTCGCTGCTACTAATGGTTGCATTTTTCATTTAAATATGATTTTTTCCTCCAGGGTAACTTTTGAAAAGGGCGTATAAAAAATGGATTACTTTTTTTTTTCAAAAAATCATAACTTGAAAACTATTGATATGATCAAAATGGCATATGAGATAAATTTTTAGGTAGTTAAATTATCTTTGCGGAAAAAAATACATTGAAAGAAAAACTTAGTAAATTAGTATTTAAAAAACGTAAAACGATGATTTTCTCAAAACACCCCCCCTTCGATCTTTATAAATTTTTTTTTTCAAGAAAACTGAAAAAATGCCCTAATATTTGGTGAAGAGTGTATGCTGGTAACTTTCTTAAAAAATCTATAATTTTTGAAATTTTTGTTGGTTTTTACAAGTTGGTGAAATTGCATATTTTTTAGTAAAATAATAATTTATTTGGATTCTACGCATAATTTTCAAAAACTTTGCATATATAAACTTTTTTCCTAAGTCCAGCCGTTCTCAAGTTAATGCAATTTAAAAAAATAATTATAATAATTTTCTACATTTTGGGCCATTTTCAAATGTTAGTCGTGATGTCCAGCATCGAGCTGTTTTTCCATGAATATATATTTAAAAACAAACAATTCATTCTCAAATATGGTAGCTGTCAGACTTACCCGTTTCTATTTAGACGCAGCGGAAAAGAAACAAGTTTATAAGTAAATACTCTCAAATATACCCAAATAATCAACAAACCCACTCATGTGCCTTTTTTCTGTCCTCTATTAGTTGTATACCTGGATAGAATTGTGTATGTCATAACAGAGGCTCAAAACATAAACAGGTAAACAAATATGTTATTAAACCTGTAATTGAGATAAATTCTCTAGGTACTTCTCTGACGTATACCATATTGTGCCTTAAGAGCTCATCCCGCTTAGCTGCTACCAGTGAGCTCAGCAGTGTTGGTAGCGATCGTTAGGGATGTCCATGTTCCAACAAGTATCAAGTTCTGTTGTGCGTGCCATGAGTATGCTATTCTTGATATTTTCGAAAGCTTACTCTGCTGCTCATTTTAAACTAACCATAATTTGCACTACAGTATAATAAAGCACATCACGTTGTACCTTCTTAGGTTTAAATATAGGAATTTTGTGAACTGGATTTTTTCTGAAAACCCACTCGAAAGTCAGGGAATTTTTTTTTTTCGACTGAGTCGACACCCTCTTCAGGTTAGAGACGGACACACGAAGTTTATTGTGCCTAACCTTCGTGGTTTCGGTCACGGCCGAGAATCGCTTCGTCAAATCATTTAAAATTTGTACCACATTCAAAGGTTTGTTTTTGGGCTGAAAGTAGACAACCCATGGACCAGTCTAGTCATTCGGATAGGCCCGTGATCGGGAGCTTTTCTTAGCCTGCCCATTGACAGACTCAGACGACGATCCAGGGATGAACATCATCAGATTTTTGAGATGATTGGTCATCCATGTCGTCTTCTAACAAAACTTCCATTGTGTCGTACTAGTGGGAGCGCAATACGCTGTACCACTTAACTCGCATAGACACAGTACACAGAAAACAATACAAACACAGAAACACAAAATGAAAATTTGACTAATGGGGAGGAAAAGAAACAAAACAAAAACAAAATCTTATCTGATAATCCTATACTACTACCACCGAGCGTTATATGTGTAGGCGTCTACACAGGTGGCTGGGAAGCGACGCGCAGCGTGGGTGATCTTCGTTGTGATATGCTTGGATGAGGCTCGGTACTCAGCTGTACACACGATGATGGATGAACGATGTTGAGACGGGTGCTCACACTCGATGATGATGATGAAAGGTGACCAGGTATGCATGACCACGCAACGATGATGCACTAATTGGTTTGCAAATTGCCAATCGCATAGATGATTCTTTTCTTCCAATGATGCCGAAAAACACACTTCTTCTCAGAAAAAAAAACTCACTTTCAAATTAATTTCCCATGGGACTTTGCCAGAAAACACTAAGTGAGAAAAAACTGATAATATACACCAGCGAATAGCGAGAAAACTTCCAAAACAACGGAGCGCGAGACAAGTCGACAGTACTTCTTGCTAGAACGCAGTGGAATCGACGGTTAAAGATTGATGATAAATGTCTTAAAATGCATGTATTTAGCATATGAGAAACTCAAGATTAAAAATAATATCACATTCAATCCAACTTTATAATTTGCCAATTGTTTCGTTTCAGAAATAGATGTGTCGCAGTATGATTTTACATTACGCCAACTTACGTTGCACTTAAACAGCACAATTACCGATCCAAACATATTGTTTGCTCGCGCCAGAAGTAATGGAGACACATACCTTCTCATTGGAAAGCAGATTTCACGCGTCATTATTACCGAAGACAACTTCAACCTGGCACCAATAGCAACCGTAATAGATGTAAATGAAAAAGTCACGGAATTTGAGGTAACTGATCATTTATTGTATTTATTCCATGCACAAAAAACTACATTTCAATTGTTTATTCACTACAGATTGAGGAGCTACTGGCTACAGAGAATAAGGGATTCCTAGTTGTCGCTTTATACTTGCGGGATCGATTCCAAATTTACCAAATCTCAAGCAATCCTAAAGGCTTAGCGACTGCCAAATCCATCCAAAGAATTGGACGCTCAGGCCGCTCTACAAGATCATTCCTGGTTCAGAGCATGTCGAATTTATTCTTGATCACTGGTTATTTGGAATCGGGTTCTGGTAAAATTGCGTAAGTATGATCTCAACCTAAACACGTTGAAAACTGTTCAGAATTTTTCCGTTTATTAGTGATGGTCGGGTTTCATGTTTTACAAACCCGAACCCGACACAAACCCGAATCATTGTATTTCTTCAAACCAAACGCGACTTATTTTATTTTGTCAAACTTAAACAACTTTTTTTTTTCGATTTCCGTGTCTCAGATTTTCGATTTCCAAGTACCGATTTTCGACAAAAAAAAAATCAAAACATTTGTGATACCTTGGGATATTTTTCATATGAAATAAACTCAAACTTAGCGCACCCCTATCATGTCCGATTGAGCCCAAATTTTGCATAGGTTCTTTTTAGAGGCAATTAACATTTTGTATATGAGCCGTTTAAAAAATAGATGGTTTCTTTTTTCCCATACATTTCTTTAGCACCCTAATATGCTTATCGTTTATTTATTTTTTAATAAAGAAATTTCTTAGTACTTCCAGTACTGACTCACCCACCTCATTCGATATGTACTTTTGGAATATTACATAAAAACAGTGTCTCTAGAAAAAAAAAAATACAAGTCGATTTGGCTCACATGAATAATTAACTCATATATGTCCAAATGGAACTAAAAATTGCTCTAGTTGGACAAATATGCGTCCATTAGTCCACCGGTAGTTTAGTGTTCGTGACATTTGCTTGGAGATCCCTACACTGCAATAAAGGTTTACTTAATATTCACCTGAAAATGTACGTAGATATTTTCCATAGTACTTTTCAGGTGAAAATTACGTGTTTTGGGAATGAAAATCTGTTCCATGTGATTCATATAGAAATCAAGTGATTTTCACGTAAATTTCATCGAATGTTCCGATGATCTACACATAGGTTTCACTTAAAAACTACGTTAATTTTCAAGTAAATGTAACTGGATTTTAAAGTAATATTCAAGTGGAAAGGTGGTAGATTTCATTTTAATTTCGGTTTATTATTTTATGGAATTTATAATAAACTGCAAAAAAAACGCAATTCACTGATATGCGATGTTGTTCAATTATAGATAGGAGGATAATTTCGTCCGCAAATTTGTTATTTTTATGTTTTTTATTAGAGTACAATTCAACTCTATCTAGTAGATTTTCATTTTCATTAATCATTTTCTGTATGAAATAATAGAAACAGGAAATTGCTATTGGTGTATTGACATCATCAAATATTACATACATTGCTTTTTCTATCCTCCATTTGACTTCCGTTTGTCGAAAGAAATCTTGAATCATATCGATTGAGATTGAGAGGAGCTCAATCAATCCGATTCTGCATTCTCCAACCCTCCAACCCATAGTGGTTTCTTTTGTCCTGATCACGAGCGTTCATCTTTCCACTTAGGAACCATCCAACTCCTGGACAGTTATAGTACCGCAATTCTGTCACAAATCAATGGCCTGTTGAATGAAAACAACCGCATCCTGGATCTCTGCTTTGTGAGTGCACGTGATATACCTCCTTTCCTCTCCATGGCACCCGAACCTTTAGTCAAGGAAGTGCTTTAGTTATCGTGATCGAAAATAATATTGTCCATGATTTCATCAGCACTCCAAACGCTGTGTCATATGCTTCCGTAGAGCTGACCATCGCAGTATTGTCCATGTGCTGTCTAGCCTAGATTGGGAGCATATTCTAGATCCTGTAGACGTCAACATTGCTGCACAAACCTTTTCTCACGTCTTGGCATGTCACAGGCACGTTTCCAAAAAGATCATTCATATCGACTCTCGCGTCCCGTGGATGACGAAAGATCTTCGCTCGTTGAAAAGAACTAAGAAGGCTGCTCTCAGAAGATTTACTAAATTCCGCACACTGCCGCTGAAATGCTACTATGTCAGACTCAACCACGAGTATAAGCGGTTAAGTCGTCTCTGTTTTCAACGCTATCAAAGGAGGATTCAATGGCGGCTAAAATCACACCCGACATCCTTCTGGAACTTCTAAATGAGCAACGCAGGGAAGTCGGCTTACCCTCTTCCATGATTTTTAATGGTGAAACTGCTGGCAATCAACAAGACATTTACAACCTGTTCTCATCCAAATTTGCTAGTGTGTTTGAAGACGAGCAACTCTCCACCAATCTCATTACCTCCCCGGCCAGTAATGTTCCTTAAGTCAACCAAACGCTTAGCATTGTCGACGCCACTACATATACGATTTCTACAGCAGCATCTAAACTTAAGACTTCAGCTAAGGCTGTACTCGATGGTGTTCCGTCGATTGTTCTTAAAAAGAACATCACTTGTCTTTTAGATCCACTGCGCCGCATATTCCAGCTCTTTCTTTCCAGCGGCATCTTTCCGTCTTGCTGGAAGACTGCGGATGTTTCCTGTTCATAAAAGGGAAGCAAACGCTACGTAAACAACTACCGGGGAATCATGTCGCTGAGTGTTGTATCAAAACTTTTTGAATTGGTTGTCGGCTGTACCACGAAATTGCGATCGCTAAGCTTGATAGGCTTTTGAGATGGTTTCGTTCATACCTCACGGAGCGCCAACTGACAGTAACTTTGGGTACTTGTCGCTCAGCAAGCTTCTACGCAAAGTCCGGTATAGGTACCTCAACTCACTTGAAATACGAAATAGACATCCACTAAGTTCGGCGATGTCAGACAGGCTAGTCATCACTTTTCTCCTTAATTTTATTACTTCTTCTTCTTTCTTCTTATTCGCATTTCAAGCTTATTGCTTAGTGCATATTATTGCGTACTCTCAACTTAGTGTTCTAAATGCACTTTCACAGTTATTAATTGAGAGCTTTCGATGCCAATACCAATACCAATGCATGAATTTGTATATTGTGTGGTAAGTAAGCACAATGATACTCTATGCCCAGGGAAGTCGAGAAAATTTCCAACCCGAAAGATTCCCTCGACCGGACCGGGAATCGAACCCGCCGCCTCCGGCTTGGTAATACCGTGCCTTTACTGACTAGGCTATGAGACCCTTTTATTACTAATGTGGTTCAATTTGGGCATTTGTTTCTAAAGCTTTCTTTTGTATGGGAAAGCCGCAAAGAAAATTAAAGATCTCCGAGGAAAAAAACACTCCTCAAAATGAAGGGAAAACACATTGATCATTTAAAAAATGTTTTAATCAATAATTTGATATATTTTTTCCTTTACAGAGTTTACCGTTGGTTAAATATGCATTTCTCGTTGCGTGATGTAAAGGAAATGTCACGATGTGATGATCTGTTAGTATTTAGTGGTACTAACCAACTCGTTCTACTTGTATTGGGGTTAGCTGAATACCCCCAACGATCAGTAAATAACATATTCATGCTCAACAGTCAGTTTAAATTGATAAAAACACAAGAAATGTTTTTCTATTTTGATCGCATGCCACACTATGAAATAGAAGACCAGTTTTACATACTGCGCTGTCTTGCGCTAGGTGAGAGGGGCTTTATAATGACTTTTATATAAGTAGTAACTGATTTTTTTTAAGGAAAATGTTTTTTGTACAAATGGAATGGTGAGAGTCTTTTCCGTCGTGTTAGCAAAGTAAGCTTTGATCCGAGGAGCATCGACCTCATGGCATCAGATCATAATATTGCAGTTATTTCACTGGAAAGAACACTTTATTTCTACAACAATCAACCATTGCTTAAAATGGCTTCATCATATGTTGTCATTGATGCACGCGGTGCTGCAGTCGACACTTCTCTGATGATCGCTCCTCAAGTCAGTAATGTGCTTCTGCACAAAGACCGAAACACCGAGAAGTTGTATCTATATTTGCTGTACAGTAAAGGCCCGAAGCTAATCGATATCTTCGAAGTGCGACTAAGCAAGGGAAGGAGCTCACCCAGTCCAGGTAGATTACCGTTTTCCACATATAACTAACTGCAGTGGCGTCGCGTAACCTAACTTTTTACCTGTGCACCAATTAAAAAAAAACTTGTTGGCCCTTATTACGAGTGTCACTGCACGGTGAAAACGAAGTGAAGTTACCACTAGCCGTGTAAATCAAATGGGAATCACTTCACCGTGAGTGATAAGTTGTCACTTCACCGTGAAGTGACATCGGTAATAAGGGCCGATACGTAGCAATAATTACAATCAAATCGATTTCTAAATGTACAGAATCTTCTTGTTTTACTGATATCCATTGCAAGTAATATTTTGTCGTAGGACTACCTCTTCATGGAATATACCTGCCTAATGAGAAGCAAATCCAAAATTATTCAAATGAAAGTTAACGAAATAGTGTTAGGTTAAAACCTTATAACATCGTTTAAAAACCCAACTTGCACACTTGACTGGATTTTAATTATAAATACACCATATGATTTGGATTTGATGTAGGGGTAAGAGGGGCATAGTGAACAGGTGGGGCAAAGTGAGCATCCCGTGCACCAGCTTGGACTTCCGGCCATTCGGAAAAAAAAAATTTATTGGTGGTAGGATCAATATCATAATGATATTGAACCTACTACCAGTTGATTTGTTTCATGCAGCTAGAGATCCAGGGCCAAACTACGAGATGCTCACTATGCCCCTCCTCCCCCTACGGTTTGTTTAGTATCACAATGTTAATTGTTAACACTGTCTTCAACCAGAGGTTGCACAGACTGAACACTTAACACTAGACAACGAACAAGACACAACACCCAGTAGACAAGTAGGGAAATTTTCGGGATCCGAAAAGTTCCACCGGGTGGACCGGAAATCGAACCCTTGCTTCGTGACACTCACATTACGCCTGAACGACAGGTGACGCCGCTAACCACACAACTCCTAACTTTTTTGTCCAATAGCAGAAACTTGTCACCAGGGTTACTTCCACTCACTAGCTATAAAAAAATTGTTTTCCCAAATTAAAAAAAAAAAAACATTAATTCAGTGCCAACATTTCAAAGGGGCGTAATTGCATTTGTAAACAATGGCTTTAGCCATAGATTTCTCGCAAATAAAAGCTCACTCATAAAAAAATAATAACACCACCAGGTAGAGGAATGTTTCCTCTACCAGCTAGCATTGTAATTTTGGAGAGGTAAGATATCATTCGCGTGAAATTGACGGCTAAAGTCATTGTTTACAAAAGCAATTACGCCCCTTTGAAATGTTGACACTGAAATGTTATAATGATAATTAGTACTTGTAAGTTACAAGGAGAGGTCATGAAGTATGTGTTTGACACATAAAACCTGTCAACATTGCTTTCAGTGCGTCACAACCAGCAAATTAACGATTCGTGAGCGCTCACTCTGAGTGAACGCTCGTGAATCATAAGATCGCTGATTGTGACGCTCTGAAAGCGAAATTTACAGGTTTTATGAGTCAAACACATATTTTTTATATATTTACACTCTTTTCTTGTTACTTACGAGTACCAAATATCATTATATCGTCTAATGATTTCATAATTCCGAAAAACAGTGTTTAATAGCAAGTGAGTGGAAGCAACCCTGCTTGTCACCTTTTGGTAGCTTTGAATTATAATTTCTACCGATTTTAAAATTGTTTCACTCCACATAGGGTGTTGTTTCATATATTACTAACAGTGCATGTTTTCCTCTTCGGGTATCGTGAAATTAAGAATAAGCTCTATTGTCGTTTATTAGGATTTAACATTTATTGTTTCCACTATTCTTCAATTTAGGTGAACAGTCTAACTTTAATGCTCTGAAAACATGTCTAATGCGCATCAAGGATATGGTAAACATACGCAAAAACTGGATAGATTTAATAAAATATCAATTGGGGAAAACAATTCGCACATGCAAATCAACCGGACAAGTTACATTAGCATCCAAAGTATTTGTGGCTGATTCGAATACAATCGAGTCCATAGTTGTTGAAGGAAATATTGACAATTCGCCGCAGGAGTTGGTGAGTGAATGGAATGCTATCAAGGACAGTCTTGCTGTTTCACACTCCCAATCAAAAGACTTGTTCTATCTAAACCGAATGAATACAATGCAATCGAATTTGAAAATTCGAGGTAACTTACATACCAAGTCAACAAAAATGAATAGTGTCAAAGTTCATGCTAATCAAGGGCGTAACATGCGTACTCGCTCTAAAAGAGATATTCAATCTTCAAGGACGGTCACCTCGGTCATTGTCAACGCCAGAGAAATCGTATTTAATGGAAAAATATTTGAAAGTTAGTATCCATGCTGAAGTAGAACCACTATTTATTTATAGTTTCAACTGAGTGACGATTTCCTTTATATTAACTTTTCAGATACGCTTAGTCGGAATAACATAAACTACATTATATCACCCGTCCACGTTACCAACATCTATACACCAACTGTTCTTATGAGGCTGAATACAATCAACCGAATTCCCATTCTGCACATGCTATTTAATACCACTGAGAAAATTATGGAAAAAGGACACAAAGTGTTCAAGGCGATTGATACGAAAGTTCTCAAAGTGTTTTTATTGGATGGAGTAAAAGCAATGCAACGCTTTTCCAGTCTGCGTAGCTTCGTCGATAGAACTGGCGTTGGAGAACCTATACAATTATCAGACACGCGTGGTGTTGCCAATCTGGTAATAAATGGCAGGTTGAATAACGTACCAGTGGTAGAACTGTTACAGCAGCTGTACTACGCCGATAAGAAATCGACCATTAATGGTAAGTAGTAGGAATACTGCCAGGAGCTACTACATAAATATATAAATAAATAGCAGCCAAGTTCCAGGAATGTGAATCAATTCGATTTTTGTATTCGAATATTGCGGGGTTGTCAACAAACTACGTAGCATTACGTCAGATTGTTGAAAAAAGCTCCTTTTTTAGTTTCATTATCTGAAACTCATATTGTAGAAACTGAAGCTTTTGATCAGTACAGTATTCCGGGATATATTGTTGCTGCAAACGTTAAATATATTGTTGCAAGCAAACGTTAAATGAATATACGCATATTTCCAGGCACAGTAGAACTTTAATTGACCACGTTTATTCCAATTTTTATTCCATTTGTTCAGTTACGGATACTGATTTGAAAATAACCGATCATGAGACCTTAGTGATTAATGTCTTAGACCATGTTAACGATAACGATAATTTTGTAAAATTGAAGTGCTGGAGGTAATATTCGAAGCTGTTTCGAATCTTGTTGAGAGGAGCGTGCATTTTCTATTCGCGGCCGGTGACTTAGGTGAATCTACAGCTGTTCTTAATAACGCTTTGAAAACGTGTACCAATCAACTAGTTAAAAGTACAATTTGGATCTTTTGCGTCTTAAACGGAAAAGGGACAAATGGTACAACCAAAGATGAATACTAAGATGAAACTGTCGGAAGAAAAACTTTCTATGTTAGTGTCCTCTTTCACGGTCCCTTTCATCCAATGAATACCCCCCGGTAATCAAGGTAATTTTGTGGTTTTGCTGCTCCCTCGATAGAGATTAAATTTTGCACTCATTTTTATCAAAACAATCACATCAAAATCAGAGATGTCCCATTTTTTAATTACTCGATTAACAACTAATCGATTATTTTTTGTTCGCTGTCCTGTCATTTTTTCACCAATGAGAGTGCTAAACTTGTTTGAAATGATCGGTGATGATCCTCTGAAGAAGTTAATGCTTATATCGGCATGATATAACCGATTACAAATATTTTACTGTTCGGTTCGTTAATCGATTAATCGATTATTCGAATGAAAATCGGCCATCACTAGATGAATGTGAAAAGTCATTTCAAATATAAGGACCGAACATAAATAATGATACAATTTAAAAGGGACCGGGGCTAATCACAAATTACCTCCCCACGGTAACTGAAATAAACACGAGTGTTCACCGGTTGGTACAACCCAATTACATTAGATGAAACTAGAGTTATTTTTTTTTTCATTAGGAAAATCGGCTGGAGTAGATAATTGTAATGCTAGAGTTATTCAAGATTGCTTTCATTTCATTGGCCACATTTTGCTGGACATTACTATGAATCTTTGCAGACTGGACATGTGCCACAAATTTGGAAGGAATCCCTAGTGGTTCCTATTCAAAAAGTTGCAGGAACGATTAAAGCCGAAGAGTTTCGTCCCATCAACATGTTGCACATATTAGAGAAATTTTTTTTTTTTTCCGTCGATCTTGTTTTCCGTGCTGAGCACCAATGCTACCGACGCCAGTGAGGCAGCTCCCACACCTGGACCCTACCTATCGACCCATCAAACTCATGAACCGGGAACCAACGGCTTTACTTCCCTTCAGAAGGAAGGCGTGATCAGAGATGTTATGCCTCAGAACATCCCGAGGGCGCCGACTGGGATTCAACCCAGGCCTGCTGGGGTGAGAGGCAATCACGCTTACCACTACAACACCGCCGCCGCTTAGAGAAAATTTAAGAATTTGTTGTGAAAGGTCATCTGTTCACGCAGAAAAATTTACTGTCGAAACAAACATATTTGAGGTGAATTTAAACGTAAACTCTGTTTGTTCTGGCCACAAACATAAACTAGGTTGTTTTCAAACATATTCCATGTTTGAAGCCATTGTTAATAATGTTTAAAACAAAAATATTGTTACGTTTATTTTAAAAAATATTCGTGTTGAAAATAAACGTAAATATTTTCGGTTAATTTGACAACTATATGTGAACAAAAATAAATATGTTTATTTTAAACATGCTTTTCATGTTAAAAATAAAAAAAAAACATATTTTGAAATTATTGTAGCATTTGAATGCGGGATAAAACAAAATATTTAAAATAGATAACAAATAAATGGAAATCGGCAGACAGGGCATCTATATTCCTGCTATTTTCGGTGCGATTAAGGGTGGATGGGTTTTGGGATCCAGGTCCATAATCCGGGGGGCCGTCGGAGTGGGTGTCCGGGGGTTCCAGTTCAGTAAACCGGTGAAACTTTTGTGATATTAGCGTCGTTTTGTCGTTTCTGACACTGGTCTTTCATACTGGCCTTTTTCTACGTTTGGTGTTGGGGGATTATCTGTTTTTCTTTCGACGTCGGGTTGAGGTGAGGATGATATGGGGATCGGCATAAGAAACGACGAAGTGACGTTGATATTGTGGGGTTTCACCGGTTTTGTCGAGCTTGGAACACTTTCTTGCGTGGTTTTCCGGAACATCTACTTCGGTTTCGCCGCTTGCAGCCCGTTTTCGGAAGTTTGTCGAATTTAAACAACAAGGAAAAAAGGACACGCTGAAAATTGTTTACCCAAAATATGTATTATTGAAATAAACATGCTTTTGAATTTAATTCAAACAAACATATTTTTGTTGGAAACGTTTTTTTTTTTTCAATTTACTTTGAACTATTTATATTTTTATATAATGAACATATATATTTTTGAATTAAATGAACAAAATTTGGTTCCGTGTTGGAGTATTTAAATAGTAATAGTTTGTTGATACCAGAACAATCGGGATATCGGGAAGGTCATTCTTGTGATACCGCATTGAATTTGGTATTAGCGAAGTGGAATGTAAATTGGAGCGTAAATATACGATTGTTGCTGTTTTTTGGATCTAAAACGCGGTTTTGAAACAATTTCTAGGCCCTTATTGTTAAGATCAATCAAGCTCTTTGGAATTACGAGTACTGCATATAAATGGTTTGAAAGCTATTTGTCTGACAGAACTCAACGAACTGTTCTTAATGATTCTGTTTCCAGTCCCGTGGGGAATAACCTTGGAGTGACCTAGTGAAGTGTATTAGGGCCCCTGTTATTTATTAGGTATATTAATGACATGACACGTGTTCTACGATTTTGCGACATTAATCTTTTTGCAGATGATACTGTGTTATTCGTTGTAGCTAAGGATTTAGATCAGTGATGGAAAAGTTCGCAAAACTCACTATGACTCGCGAACTTTTCCCTTGGTGAACTTCGTGAAATATCGCGAACTTTTCCCTTGGTGAACTAGCCGTTTTACACTTGAATGAAGATTTGCGTTCTCTAAGTAGATGGTTGAAGTATAAGCAGTTGAAATTGAGTACAAGTAAAACTAAATTTATGGTAATTTCACGGAATCAAGTAAATGAGAACGTCTCTGTTGTAATTGATGATGAGACTATTGATCACGTTCGGGAGATTATATATCTTGGCGTGATTATTGATGACAAACTTAAGTTCAACTGTCACATTGACAATGTCATCAAGAAAATTGCCAAGAAGTATGGAATTCCATGTCGACTGAAAAACGATTTAACTATTGCCAGTAAAATACAGCTATACAAATCAATCATCTCTCCTCATCTAGACGTTTGCCCTTTCATTTTATTTTTGGCCAATGCAACACAAATATCGAGGTTACAGCACTTGCAGGATAAAATAATGCGTTTGTTTTTAAGATGTAATAGATTCATTTCCTCAATTTTGATGCTAAACGCCTTACAATCAACAATCAATACGAAACTAACAATTTTAAATTGGCTCACTACTTGACTAGCCTATTGGTCCCAAGCAAACGGTTAACGTACCCTATTCTAGTCAAAATTCTAGTACTACGCAATGTTTGTTTTGATTCGCTATGAAAGATTGGCAGATAAAATAAGGGGTTATTTGATTTTCCTAAGTTTCGAGGGGTGAATCGATTAGCTTGGGACCGAAGATAGTACAAGAGCTGAGCCAAAAAGTTGAGCTCGTTTATTCGGGATCTTCTAGTCTTAGAGTTACCTCTATGTTACAATGGTTGTCGGTGTAGCAAAGAATTGTAAATTTAACTATGGTGTTCATTTTTAAAGTAGTTAACGGTTTGCTGCCTCGATATTTGTGTGATCGAATTGAAAGAGGAAGTGACTTTCATAGATACAATACTAGAAACGCGGTTGAAATAATAACACCACATTTCTTGACTTGTGCTTCACAAAATTCATTATATTTTAAAGGAATAAATGTTTTCAATTTGACACCTAGACATATTAAACGTTCAGACTTGCAAAATTTAAAAGACACTGCATTTCAAACGTTTAGACTGTCTTTTGAACAGTTATGCAGTGATTATTTTTATGAATTGACAAATTATGTATCTTGACGAAGTTATAACTAACAGATTATTTTATTTGGATAGCTGTCATAACGACTATTTAATAATTATTGTTTAGCACTGCAAAAACTATTTCTGTTTGCCACGATGGTGCTGATGGATTTTTAATATTTGAAAAAAAAAAACTAGTCTACAAAGGTTTGAGCCTCGCACGCGTATTACGGATATGGAGGACTGAATTTAAAATTTGATAAAAAATGCAACTTTGAAGCTTATTTGGAACATATCTTGAGTTAGTAGTAAGTTTCTGGCAAATGTTGGGGGTTCGTGAACATTCCTCATAGCATCAGATTGCGGGGTTGCTAGTGTAATAGGATGCTTTATTGATTGTTCATTAACTCTTGAATACTTATGAATATTTTAGGTGTACAAAAAGGCGAACCAAGAGGTGGATGCCTGAGTTTTTCCACATTTACATCGCTGTGAAGCAACTGTAAACTCTAGAGGGAGTTTATATCTCTAACTGTAACAAGTTAGATTTTGTTTGCTAACCTGGTTAAAATGTCATATATAATTATCTTAGATAAATCGTCCAGCAACTCAAACCTTTGTAGGGGTAAGAGGTGGGACCATCATCATTTTTTAACATCGATTCTCAACCACACATCAACAAAAGCGATGTGGAGCGAGTTTAATCTCACAATGAGGCTACCATGGAAAGGAGATGGTTAACCCTCTCCTTCCCATGGTAGAACACAGCTGATCCTCAAATTTTATTTAAGGTGTGCTCTTTATTATCATCCATATGTATTCTTGCGAATTCAACTGGGCTACTATTGAAATAAAATACTATTGATTTTTGGCAAAAACTTTCTTAAACGAATTCGGTAATTTTAGAATGTATGGAATATTTTTTGTTCTAGCATTTTTTTTTCTTAAAAAAACACATTTTTGTATCTCATACAACGTAAATCTTCTGGAAAGGGTTAAGGCCGATGAACATTTGAAGTTTTGTTTCCTGAAGAAATTTATTTTTTGTAACCTTTTCTTTCAGGTAATGTTTTTCTGCGGGCGCCACTGTACATCCGGAATGTGTATGCTCGTAGTTTAAATAGTTTTCCAACAAATAATTATTTCGACTTGAGAACAAATCAAACCATTTCTGCTGTTGTGCATTTGTCGCAAGTGTATGCCACGACTTTGCATAGTAAAACTATAAACGGAATTAACATTCCTGGAGATATAACGTTGATAAGCTCAACGGAGATGATAAAAGGTATTACGATAGGATATCTGTAACAATTGCATTTATATATTTTATATTACAGCTGCACTTGCATCTAATTTCGTCGTCCTTGAGGATCTTACACTTTCGACTGAGGATCAGCACTTCACCAAGCATGTATTGGGAACAAAAGTTGAAGATTTTTCGCAGATTTACACGGGACGTGTTCATTTGAAAGGATCACTGAAATTGAACAAATTGCAGCTAGAAAACCAGAAAGGTCAATTGCTTCTGAGAGGACTTACAGCCAGTCCGGAAACAAGAAAACATTTCTGGATGAAACACTTTGAACAGGTTTGTAGTTGTCAAAATACCATGTATTAAATACGTCAGTTCTAAGGGGCAGATAGAGAGAGTTGGGTCATAAATATGTGACAAGCGTATCGGAGGTGTGTCATATTTTACTACTGAGCGAACTACCTGTGTGTTCACGTAACACTAACGGGATTCTTTTTTGAGTGTATAATGAAAATGTCATTCGATTTGGAAGAACAGCTACATAACTGTTCCGTACTCTATGGGATTTCATGTACACATGGGGATAGCTATGCGTCCATTGGCAGTACATTAGAACTGTTCACGGATATCACCTTTCTTCACCGATTTAATTATCATGTGGAGTTTGTAATAATTAACTGTCACTTTTGCTAATGTTATGTTCATGAATCGTTTATCTTTATTTTTTGTAGGAAATAGGCAGCTTCACTTTCAACCGCCAAGTTGAGGTTAACCATCTGGTGTGTGGGGAACTGAATTACAATCCCACTGTCAGCTATCTGAGAGGAGATAACTGGCCTTCGCATTTATCTCTTGAAATGTCGAAAGCTTATGTTCGGGGCTTTGTCAAGACGTATGTTACAACCCCGACTTTCCTACAATACATCCATTCCGAAGCTGTTCAGCGCGGATCCATGTAAGTATATTACATTTAGGCTTTATATGTAATCAGATGTTGAACAGAACCAGTTACACTAGCCCAAATCAACTCGAAACAGCTCATAAAGGGTTGAATGTCAAAAAAACAGTGTTGTGATTAACTTTGGTCTTTTTTACATGCCAACTATCCAAAGCCGGTAGCAGGTCATTTTTAGTGGCTAGGCTTGATCTGGTTAATTAAAAAACAGCTTGTAAAGTTCGACGAGAAGAGTTGCGAATAGATCAGAACTGTCCAATCGGTGGTGATGGAATCACTAATATTTTCATTTTTTTTTTTCAACTTCGTGATCTATACTTGTCCAGACCAGATTATACAATTTCTATTTTTCCCCTTGCCTGTGATCTCGAAATAGCATAGACAATTACATGACAAATTTTCTGATGGTTCGAAAAATAAATCTGGACAAATATTCGGCCTTGAGCCGGTTTTAGTTACCTTGTTTTGCACGGTGATGCATGCCACTTTTAAAGCAACGATCGTTGATGTGGTCATCGCTGATTGGTGGCTGTTGTAGCCTATTGATGGTCTCCTTCTTCACGGCTTGTTGGTGTGAACGTACTACCCCGGTTGAGGTGACGCAACGATTAATAACGAGTGTCTATAATTGGACACGTTGTCTTCGATGGGCAGCAACGAAACCTTGCTGATTGGGTGTCGGTATCTGCAACTTCCTGCAACGGTTGTGTGGGCTGAATTTTTCGATGACGTGGAATAACCAGGTTTTCACGGATGATCGGCATGGTTCGTAGGTTCTTCTTCCTGGGTCCTCGTCGTCAAATTAAACGCTTGAAGAATGTCCAGAAGGCATCGGTGCTCAGATCGTATAACGCTTCCAGGCCATCAGTGTAGATCGGATGCAGGTTTGCCAATTTCTTGCAAGGGTCGTGGGCAACAACTCACTGAATGTCGTCCGCCAAATGGACAAACTGAACCACTTGGGTGATAGTTTCGTTTGCCTGGCGTGGGTGTGGGATGATCAAGTGTTGATTTTTCTTCAGGTCAACTGGGTCATCTGGGTTGACGATAACTGCTTTCAGTGCAGGTATCATCTGGTCTGGAACATTTTCGGGTAGTTCGATGTTGTACCTTTCTCCCTGGAGGAACTCAGGACCACTCCATCAAGACACGATATCGGTTTGTTTCTGGATCACAGCGATTCGGTTTCTTCCGAACGACTGTAGTTGGTTGAGCGGTTTGTTGATCCAGGCCAGGACTATCGTACTTTCGCACCATAGCACAATTTCTCGGAACTCCATATCCAGGACTGGTAATACCTTTTGTACTAACCGGGTTAGCAGGTGAGCGGCGCAAAGTAGTGTTCTCAGTCTGAGCTTGCTGACTCCTTGTCGAATGGAAAGATCCTCTGGCGGTGGCAAACTAGGGAACAACGAATAGAAGATTAGGAATCACATAGATGAAGACTAACTAACTCATTTTTTTCCTTGTTTCAAGATCATCCTCGGTAGATAAAGCCGAGTCTTGTCACTATCAACAAGGCATAAAAAGTAATAAGGACTAAGATGTGTTCCTTGGTTTACTGAAAAATCCTGTTCCCCTAGTGTGAAGTAGTCAGGAACTAGGGAACAACGAATAGAAGATTGGGAATCACATAGATGAAGACAACTAACTAATTTTTTTCCTTGTTTCAAGATCATCCACGGTAGACAAAGCCGAGTCTTGTCATTATCAACAAGACATAAAAAGTAACAAGGACTAAGATGTGTTCCTTGGATTACTGAACAATCCTGTTCCCCTAGTTTGAAGTAGTCATGACTAGGAATCGGTGGTAGATCTTACATCCCGTCACGTACCACGAAAAGGTGATCTATCCACGGTACGGGGCTCGATAGCGTTACAAGTATTACTGATTCGTTTTCCAGTGGGTAATATATTTTCAGATCGAACTTTTCATTTGTTATCTTCGTCATTAGACGAGTTGAAGTGTACTCTTCCCTCTTTAAGAAAATGTAATTTATTATAAAGTACCTACACATCACTGCGTCCTAGCAAGAAGTACGGTCGACTTAGTTCGCGCTCCGCTATTTTGGAAGTTTTCTCGCTATTCGCTTGATTTAAATTGTCAGTTTTTTCTCGCTTAGAGTTCCCAGCTAAATAATTAACTAAAAGTGAGTTTTTTTTCTGAGAAGAAAGTGTGTTTTCGGCATCATCGGAAGGAAAATTGTTTTTACGATTGCCAATTCGCCAACCATTTTGCGCACCATCGGTGCGTGGTAACGCATACCTGCACACGGATCATCGTCATCGAGTGTCAGCATCTGCCTCCGCATTTACACCGCTCATCTATCATCGTGTGTTCAGCTGAGTGCCGACCCTCACATAAGCACACACCAACGAAGACCGCCCGCACACGCTGATCGAAGATCATCCACGCTGCGCGTCGCTCCGCTGCTGCCGTTTAAACGCTCGGTGGTAGTAGTATAGGATTATCAGATAAGTTTTTGTTCTTGTTTCTCTCTTTCGCCCACAGTTAAATTTTAAGTTTGTGTTCTGTGTTTGTAGTTTTTTTTTGTGTATTGTGTCCGAGTGATAATCGTTTCAGTGGTAGAGCGTTTTTCGCTCCCACTAGTACGGCAAAATGGACATTTTGTCGCAAGACGAAATGGAGTTTTTGTCGGAAGATGACACCACTTTGCCACGCGATGGCAAGAAGGGTCGAAAACGTACGTCATCTCTCCCTGGTTCATCGTCTCAGTCTGGCAAAGGACAGGGTCAGATAAACCCCCGATCGCGAGCCTATCCAGATGACTCGACTGGCCCATGGGTTGTCTACTTTCAGCCCAGAAACAAACCTTTGAATGTAATGCAAATTACTAATGATCTGACGAAGCGATACTCGGCCGTGACTGAAATCACGAAGGTTAGGCACAATAAACTTCGTGTCTCCGTCTCTAACCTGAAGCAGGCTAACGAGATTGCTGCCTCCCAGCTCTTCACGCTCGAGTACAGAGTTTACATCCCAGCTCGTGATGTGGAGATCGAAGGTGTGGTCACCGAAGCGAGTCTGACCCCCGAGATCTTGGAGAAGCAGGCGGTTGGCCGTTTCAAGAACCGTTTGCTTCCTCCGGTGAAGATACTGGATGTCCAAAAACTGGGGTCAGTATCTGTCAGCGAGGGTAAAAAGAGTTTTACCCCCACAGACTCGTTCCGTGTGACCTTTTCTGGTTCAGCCCTTCCTCACTACATCGAGCTGGGAAAACTTCGACTACCTGTGCGTTTGTTCGTTCCCCGGGTCATGAACTGCCAAAACTGTAAGCAGTTGGGACATACGGCCTCCCACTGTGGCAGCAAGGCACGCTGTTCCAAATGCGGAGAGAAGCACGAGGATGGCGCCTGCACAGTCACTGCACCAAAATGCGTGTACTGTAAGGGAACTCCTCATGGTCTCTCGTCATGCCCGGTGTACAAACAACGCGGGGAGAAATTACAACGCGCACTCAAGGAACGTTCCCGGCAGTCTTTTGCAGAAATGCTTAAGACGGCCACGCCATCGACCAACGACAAAATCCCTTTTCTCTTTTGTCAGATGACGAGACTGACTCTGACTTGGCTGAGGAGGGAACTTCTTTCTGTTTTTCAGCACGGAAACGAAAACGCATCCGTTCGCGGAAAGTTGAGAATGAAGAACCCCAAATCAGCTTGCCCAAATCAAGGAGTGGTGAAAAAAAGGAAGTTTCTACTCCTCCTGGATTCAGAAGAACTGACTATACCCAGGATTTTCCACCTCTCCCGGGGACATCCAAAACCCCTGATGTCCCATTTTTAAGAACAGAAGCCCCTTCTTCATCTGGGTTGTTCTCATTTGATAAAATTGTGGACGATATTCTCAAGTACCTGAATATTTCTGATCCTCTCAAAAGCATTGTTCTGGCAATGCTTCCTACTGTGAAGACCCTCTTGAAGCAATTGACGTTGAAGTGGCCCCTCATTGCAGCAATCATTTCCTTCGATGGATAATTTTCCAAACGAGGTCGGGGATTTGATCACTATTCTACAGTGGAATTGTCGAAGTCTTATTCCTAAATAAGACTCTTTTAAGTTTTTAGTTCACAATAATGATTGTGATGCATTTGCTCTTTGTGAAACTTGGCTCTCTTCAGATATAGATCTTCCTTTTTATGATTTTAACATTATTCGACTGGATCGTGAGGATTCGCGTGGAGGAGGGGTACTTTTGGGGATCAAAAAGTGCCATTCTTTCTATAGAGTGAATCTTCCACAATTTACAGGTATTGAAGTTGTCGCATGTCAGGCTATTATTAAAGGTAAGAGCCTTTGTATTGCTTCTGTTTATATTCCTCCTAGAGCCGTTGTTAATCGAAAACAACTTTCAGATATATGTTCAGTACTTCCTGCTCCACGGTTGATTATGGGAGATTTTAATTCCCACGGTACAGGCTGGGGGGAACTGTATGATGACAACCGTTCTACTTTTATATATGACCTCTGTGATAACTTCAATATGACGATTCTTAACAATGGAGAAGTAACACGTTTGGCTGGACCATCCTCGAATGGAAGTAAATTAGACCTCACACTTTGCTCTAACTCATTATCGTTGGATTGCACGTGGAATGTGATCCAGGATCCCCACGGTAGTGATCACTTGCCGATCAAAATTTCGATTGCCAGTGGGTTCAATCCGTCGGAATCCGTTAACGTCGCGTACGACCTCACCCGTAATATCGATTGGACAACGTTCAAGACCGCGATAGAGGAAGCCGTGTCGTCGGTAGAAGGGCTTCCACCGTTGGAGGAATATAACTTCCTCTCCAATCTGATCTTGGACAGCGCGCTTCGAGCTCAAACTCGGCCGGTTCCAGGAACGTCTTTGCGTAGGAAACCTCCTTCCCCTTGGTGGGACCACCAATGCACTGAGGTTTATCGTAAAAAGTCCGACGCGTTTAAGCTTTTCCGGAAACGTGGAACACCCGTGTATTTCGAAGCGTACTCGGCTC